CCTGACTCTCAACACCCATCTGCGTATGCCCCTCGATACCCATAGACATACCTCGATACCCCTTCGAACGACGATGCGATAGACCTTTCTGCCGGGCATGCTTGCATCTCTCTACCGTGCACACACGTGGCTGGCGCTCGTGTGCCTCTTGACGGCCGTGCGCGCGTTCGACCTGGATCCATCGGGCTATGCGTCGCTTACGCACTACGACTTACCCTCCAACTACGTCGCCTCGTGCGGCTGTGTGGGTCGGTCGACGTTCTACCCCACCGCCGCATTGAACCGATACGCCTACGGATCCAATACCTCCTTCGGCCCCTCGTGCGGAAGCTGCTTTGAGCTCCGACTAGTCTCAACGCCTTTGGCTCTGCCACCTCCCACGCCCGGCACCAACGAGCCTTGGGGCGATGGAATCTACTATACCCCGCAGCAGGTCGCCTCGGGCTCGACACCCAACCTTGTGGTCAAGATAATTGATCTTTGCCCCGGAGCAGGTGGACCGTGGTGTAACGCAACGCGATTCGACAACGGAACGGTGCAAGGGAATAGTTTGGGCTTCGATGTGCACTTTGATCTTGCTTGGCCATCAAAGGCAATATCGAAAGGCTTCTTTCCGGGCGACCATGATTACGGCGCTTGGAACGTTAGCTATCAAGCTGTCAGTTGCGAAAGGTGGGCGGGGTGGAAGGATCGAGCTGCGCTAGGCTCGGATTGGGACCAGCAGAGTTCGGCGTGTTGCCCGAACAATCCAGTGCCGAGTGGACAGGATCAAATGTGCCCACCGTACTACGATACCTTGGCTCCAACTCGGGCCGTACCGCCCAATACCAGCAATGTTCTGTCCAAGGGACGATCCAACGCAGCAACAGGAATGGTGGCCAACACTGCGCGCGTATCCTTGGCAACCGCAATCGCACTGCTGTCGGCTGCTCTGCTCTGCATCTCTGCAGCTACCTTCGCCTTCGAGTAAGATGGATCCTCGTCTCTGGAACTATGCTTCTTCTGATCGCACCAAGTATCGGCAATAGTATCAAGATAATGGGTATATTTGCGGTCCCTGAGCAACAACAACTAATTGGTCGGTGTGGGATTGACATGCGCATTGTCATTGGCCTTCGTCTCGCCCTCGTCGCTTGGCTCGTCGATCCAGTCGTACAGCAGCACGGCATCGGCCATCTTTCTCGCCCATGGATCGCTGAGCCATTGCTGCACCTCGGCCCTTGTTGCTGTCTCTTGCTTCCCTGCATCGGGCTCTCCAGCGCTGTCTTTCGACTGTGCATGTTCGTAGCCGAGCCAGATGCCTGAATCGAGCGGCTTGCTAGCTATGATGTACGGCCGAGTCCACTCGCCCGCCTCGGCCTCGTCATGCTGTGAGAGAAGCTGGACGACACGTTCGGGTGCGCCAAACCCGTACTCGCAGTGACCCAAGCCGCACACGACGAGTGCAACATTGACCACCGGTCGATCCACTCGACTCTCGCCTTGCGATACGGGCGGGCATGGCTCAGCCTCTCTGGCACCACGCAGGATCCAGGCTGTGACGTGGGCGAGATAGGAATCTTTGAGCGCCTGAGCCGGACCGAATCCCTTGAGCTCCACATTTTGCGGCTGGAGCAGCCAGGTCGGATAGATCGTCGGCTGCCCCGGCTTGTCGAGCGCGGGTGCGGCGCTAGTGGCGGCTGCATCCGAGATAGGCGGGAAGCGCGGCGGCAGATCGGGCCGCATGAGACCCGAGAGGTAGCTGCGGTGCGCCGCACTGATGTTGGTCACTGACGACCACGCTGTGAAGAGTGGCGAGCGAGGCGGCGTGCTTGCGTCGAACTGCTGGGAGACTGCTGGATGCGAGGCAGTGTCGGTAGTCGAGGATTCTGGCGAGGAGCGCTTGCGTTCGTTGGGCTTGACTGCGTCGACGCCGTTGCGAAACACCTGCCTGGCCCAGCGGCGCGGCGGAAAGCCGCCCCAGATGGGCACGTTGAGCTCCTTGGCAAGCATGAGGAGCGGCATGTAGTGGCCGATGTGGAACGACTCTTCGCTGTGCGCGTGGTAGGCGTGCGCAAGCTCGTCCGGGCCCATGCGCCCTTGCGAAAAGGAGTGCAGCATGTCTTGGTCCAGCACCGAAAAGTGCTCGAGGATCAGATGCAGCCGATAGAGGGGCGGTGCCGAAGTTGGTGCGGGGTCGGCGGACGAGGCTTGCTGGCACTGTGTATGCAAGGCATGCAACGTCTGAAGCTGTGCACGCATCACGTGCGGCTGGTGATGCTGCTCACCGAAAAAGACGAGCCTGGGCGGCGGTGCTGTGCAGCGAGTGTTGCCTTTGGACGCGGCAAAGAGATCCTGGAAAGAGCGTCCGAGCAAATTGGACGGGATGGGGAGCAGCTTGTTCCATTCCACGTAGCAAGCGCTCGTCTCGGAAGAGGCGGGATCGTTACCGTCGTCATCTGTTCGAATCCGCGGAGGCTCTACGGTGTTGCCGGTGCCGTTTTGGATCGAAGATGAGGACGACTCTGCCTGTGCTTGCCTCTCTTGGATAGGCGGCGAGAAGGAGTGTCTATACGACGGGATGTGTGTGGTGAGAAGAAGCGGCTTGGTGAAGCGCGGGATGAAGCGCGCGATGGATACATTGGCCATCGGAGTTGTCGGTGGTGCTTCGGCGTCACTCGAATGGGCTTGCGACGCCATGCTGGATGCGCGCCAATCTGCGTTCTGAGATGACCTCGAGATGGATCAAGGATGAGGTGGTCAAGGCGCTTGGTTCGCTGAGCGTTCAGGGTCCAGCTAATCCAATCCAATCCAATCCAGGCCGGGCCGAAATCAGGCGGGCGAGTCCAAAGGAAAAGGGTGCGCGGTGACGCCAATCCGCATTCTCCAGATCGGCTTCAGATCGGCTGCGCAAAGAGAGGCCCCACCAACGCGTCGTCGCTGCAAAGATCGACGAAATCAATTTCCAAGGCGACCGCTCCGCCCCGCACATCGCAGCAGAGCGAGTCCAAAACCAGGCGAAATTCCAAGCTGGGCAGCCCATGCCAGCCCAGGCCAGCCCAGGGCAGCCATCGGGCAGCAGAAGGGCACGAGCCATCATCCCACAGCTCAGCCTCTGGCACCGCTGCGCCGGGCTGTGCTGAGCAGCGGTGGATGGCTGGCTGGCTTCCCCCCAACGTCATCCGTCCGTCGTTTGTCTCCACATCCAAGCCTGTCCATCCGCCGTTCTTTCATCCATCCATTCACCCCAGCCATCCATCTCTTTCTCATCCTCAATCCTCAATCACGGATACCACACCACTGGAAAGGATCGACTCGACTCGGCTCGGCCCCCACTCTCCCTCCGTCTCGCCTCAACCATGCAGAGCCCCGCTCCTGCGGGCTCCGCCGCCTCGGCACCCCCCATCGCACTCTCGCCCGTAGAGAGGAGCGCCTTTGCGCATCTCTTCAACCTCGCCGATCCGGAGCGCACCGGCATCGTCACCGGTGATGCCGCCGTCTCCTTCTTTGCCAAGTCCAAGCTGCCCCCGCCCGTCCTCGGTCAGATCTGGGCCATGGCCGACAGCGCCAACAACGGCTTCCTCACTCCGCCCTCCTTCAGCATCGCTCTCCGCCTCATCGCTCACGCACAGCGCGGCGAGCCCGTCACAGACGCCCTCATCAAGCGTCCCGGCCCGCCTCCCACCATGGAGGGCGTCAACCTCCCGCTCACCGCACAGCTCACCGGCTCCCAGTCCGCCGCTCCCGGCGCCACCAACATGCCCGGCGTCATCGAGATCAAGCCCGAGGATCGCGCCCGCTACACCCGCATCTTTGCCAACTCCGGCCCCTCGGGCGGTCTCATCGACGGCGACCGCGCCAAGGAGATCTTTGTCAAGTCCAAGCTTCCCTTTGACAAGCTCGGCGCCATCTGGAACCTCGCAGACACCCAGGCACGCGGCGCCCTCGATCTCACCGACTTTATCATCGCCATGCACTTCATCCAGAACACCATGAACGGCTCCCTCAACTCCATCCCCGCCGCCCTCCCGCCTGGCCTCTACGAGCAGGCCAAGGGCTCCGGCGGCGTCGGTTCGCGCGTCGTACCCGGCTCACCTCTCGCTGCACAGAACACTGGCGGCTCGGCATCCGGCTTCGGCTCTGCCATGGGCATTCAGCGTCAGATGACCGGTTCCAACTTCCAAGCTTCCTCGGCTTTCCAGTCGCCCCAGCAGACAATATCCCCTCCTGCCGCTGCTCCTACGGCCACCGCTGCCGCCCCAGCGGCTGCAGCTCCCTGGGACGTGACTCCCGAAGAAAAGGCTCGCTCCGATCAGTTTTTCGACGGCCTCGACGTCTCCAAGAAAGGTCGCCTCGATGGCGCCGCCGTCGTGCCCTTCTTCATGCAGAGCAAACTCACCGAGGCCGTGCTCGCTCACGTCTGGGACCTCTCCGACGTCACCCAGACCGGCACCCTCTCCAAAGACGAGTTCGCCGTCGCCATGCACCTCATCAACGCCCAGCTCGCCGGCAAGCCGCTGCCACAGGAACTCCCCACCACGCTCGTCCCGCCCTCGATGCGCAGCATGGATCTGCCCGCCGCCGTCAACCCGCACCAGTCCGACACCCAGAAGGACCTCTTCTCGCTCATGGACGACGACCCACCCGCGCCCACCATCTCGGCTTCGTCCGCTTTCATCACTCCCTCCCCCGCCGCACCAGTCGTGCACAACCAACCGTTTGGCGTCGCCCCAGCCCCCGCTGCCACCACCGCACAGCGCTCGGCTCCCGGTCCGTTCGACGACGACTTCTTTGGCGCATCCGACGCCACTCCCAGCGCTCCAACGCCTTTCCAATCCAGCCAGCCCGCAGCCGCAACCCTCTCGCCCGCGGCCACCGGTGGCAGCTTTGGCAGCGCAGCCGCCTTCCGTTCGCCCGGCATCGCCTCGCCCACCGGCGTAGCTTCGCCTTCCGCCTCCACGTCGCGCCTCGGCACCGCCTTTGGCGCAGGTGCAGCCGCCACTGCTGCAGGCGCCGTCGCTGGTGCCGCTTTCGGCTCGGGTTCGGGCTCGGGATCGGCCACCGCCACCGACCAAGGCGCCGATTTCGGAAACAAGTCGCTGCAGCTGCAGAGCACCGAGAAGGCCGTGTCCGACCTCCAGTCCAGGCGCGCCACCCTCGAGAGCTCCGTGGCCACCAACGCTTCGACGCTCGCCGAGCTCGAGTCGCGTCTCTCCACCGTTCGCGGCCAGCACGACACCGAGTCCAAGCTGGTCAAGGACCTCGAGGAGCGCTCGCAGAAGCAGAATGCGGAGCTCAAGACGCTGCGAGAGGACGTCATCCGCGAGGAGAGCGAGCTCAGCGCGCTCAAGGCCGAAAAGGACGAGCTGGAGCAGGCGCTCATGCGCGACCGCGAGGACGTGCGCGACATGAAGAAGCGCATGAACGACGTGCAGACCGAGACCAAGTCGCTCAAGGAGCAGCTCGACAAGCTGCGCAAGGACGCCAGGCAGCAGAAGGGCCTCGTCGCCATCAGCAAGAAGCAGCTCGCCACCGCCGAGGCCGACCAGGAAAAAGTGGCCGGCGAGATCGAGGCTGTGCAGCGCGGAGACGTCGAGGCGGCCACCGAGCACAATGCCGCGCCCGCGCACGCCGAGGCGGTGACGAGCCCGGCTGCAAGCGTTCGCAGCACCAATCCCTTTGACCGCTTCGGAACCGGCGCGAGCGCTTCCCCGCAGCCGGGCACGCCTGCGCTGCCTCCTGCCGGTGCTAGCCACCATGGCGGCGTCGGAACGGCTCTGGCAGCTGGCGCCGGTGCCGGCGCGGTGCTCGGTGGCGTTGCTGCGGCAGCTTCCCACCACGACACCGATGTGCCTCACACTGGCGTTGCGGACGAAGCAGTGCACGACGCCGATCCGTTCGGCGTTCAGCACACGCAGCAGCCGGCACAGCCTGCGCAGAGCCTCGGCTTTGACGACGCCTTTGCCGTCCCCGGCGAATCCACCACCGATGCTCCGGTACAGGCAACCTCGGCCGACTTTGACGACAACTTTGGCGACGATTTCGGCGCGGGCACTGCTGCTCCCACTGGCGTCGTTGCGGACAAGGCTGATGAGCCTGTTGTGGGTGATGAGGTTTCGCGCGTCGCAGAGCCGGCGGCTGCGGGCGGGCTCGCTGCTGGTGCTGGTCTTGGCGCGGCGGG